TTGACCTCACCTACTGGCCTCCATTTAGTTTTTGCCCATCATTGAACATCTTCTGGATCAGAGCTGACAAATCTACCAGTGAGGMATAAACCTAACAACTCGAATCTTTCTCTAAGCTTACCAATATCTGTTATGACCACCCCTATTTTGTGATCCTCATCCTCCACAGATCTTATTCATGTGTTTACTATTAACCTGTCTCCATTCATTATTATTCCATCGGTGTATAGTCACTAGGAAGAATCTGCTATCAGACAAAAGGGGGAAACTAAATGCAGGAGAATTAACCCCAACTAAAATATTGAGAATTAACCCCAACTAAAATATTCATATTTTGAAGAGCATTTATTGCCCTAGATTTTTTTTTGAAGGATAAAAGAGAAATTCATTAAAAACTGAAAAAATAGTACAATGCAAGACAGTTGGTTGTCAAGCTGACATACCAACAAAATTCCAGACAAACTCAAACTACAAATAACTCATTGTTACAAGGTTGCAAATCTAGTGAACTCCAGAAGTTCTCTAACAGATCTGTTCTGTTCACTTGATCAAAATCTGGAAGATGAAGAACCCAGATGATCAATGCTCTTTAACCTGTCCTCAAATACTCTTCTATTTCTCTCATTCCAAAGTGACCAGCAGACTGGAAATGCGATACAGCTCCACAGAATCCTGACTTTCTTGCTTCCTTAAAGTTTTGGCCATTTAGAGAATAGTTCTTCTGGAGAAGAAGGTTGAAACATCCTTTGTCTAAACAGAAAGAAATAGAAAATCCAAATAAAATTTGCCACAATACAGGAAAAGAACAAATGAAGGACTGTCTCCTCCTCCATGTGATCCTTAGTGAGAATGCTGTCATGGGCTACCAACCAGGCAAAGGTTTTTTTTTTTTTTTTTGATCAGCAAAGAAGAATTTTATTTGAAATTAGATTTAAAATTTTACAACTTTGTGTATGGGATTCGAACTCCCACACTATTACATATTTCTGTCCCTCTTTACATTGCAGCCCAAAACAATTGTTGCCTTAAAGCCCCTTGTTTAGCAAGATAATCAGCTAGCCCATTTGCACTCCTTCTAACCCATTTGAATTCAGCCTCTACCTCCCTTGCGACCTTTTCCACTTCCCTTATCACTTGTTTGAAAGTCCACAGAGTAGTTCTATTGTTTTTAGCCCGAGAGATGATCACCTTGTAGCATTGCCATTAACTCAGCTTTTAGAGAGTTGCCCATGCCAAATCAGAACCAGGCAAAGGTTTCAACTCTTGGCTCTTGGGGGTACCGGATTACCCCACACTCCTTTTATCTGACCCGACTATAGGCTCTCTCTTACTAATGCCTTGTATAATGACTTAACTGAGAACTTTCCATCTTTGCTCTCTTTCCACCACAAACCACCTCTTGTAACTACTGCAATGTTTATTCCTTCTAGCTTTTCCAGCAGCATAATACACTCTTCCACTGATCAATTGTAACTTGTTGATCAGTCAACCTATATAACTTTGGGCAAACCCCACACAGTTTTCCTACTTCAGTCCATTCATCTCCCCAAAACCTAATTCTAGATCCATCCCCAACTTTGAATCTCACCAATCCCCTAACTCCTGATTAAACCTCATGATTCCTTTCCAAACACTTGCCCCATAAGAGCTCCTTACTTCTCTTGGTTCCCACCCAAGCCTCACCACCCCATATTTCCCAACCACCATCCTCCTCCATAAGCCTTCCTTTTCTCTCTCTTGCCCAAACCTCCACGGACACTTCCCTAGCAATGCTTTGTTAAGCAATTTTATCCTTCTCAGACCTAAACCTCCCCACCACCCCCCCACCTCGCCTTTGGTTTGCAAACCTTTTCCCATTTTACCAGATGGAACTTCTTGGAACCCCCACCCCTTCCCATAAAAACTCCCTTTGAACCTTCTCAATCCTAGCCACCTCCTTAGGAACCTTCTCAATCACCCTAGATAACAAGGCTCAATGAGAATCTACATTTCAATAATATTTATGCATGGTGTTAGAGCTAGCCGAATAAGGGTAGATTAGTCAATTTATTTTTGTTAAGTTATGTGCTTATGTGGCAGTCTTAATAGAGACTTCCTGTCCCATACTTAAGTGGGAGCAGTTTAGTCTTTATACCACTAATTAGAGGCTAATCCATATTAAATAGGGTTTAAAACTATCTGGTTCGACTGTTCTCTTCTTCTTCTCTTCTCCTGGTTCGGACTACTGTAGCTACAGAAATAACATGGTATCAGAGCAGACCTGAAAAAGGCAACTTATGGGTTGAAACCACCTGGGTTTGTTGCTCAGGGGGAGGATGGTAAGGTGTGCAGACTGAAAAAGGCAATTTATGGGTTGAAACAATCGCCTCATGCTTGGTTTGGGAAGTTTAGTGAAGTGGTGAAGAATTTTGGAATGAAACAATGCCAAGTTGACCACTCAGTGTTCAGCTATGATTCAGAAACCGGAAAGATTTTATTAGTGGTCTATGTGGATGATATTGTCATAACTGGTAGTGACAAATTGGGGATCAATAAACTAAAGGTCTTTTTGCAAAATCACTTTCAAACAAAAGACCTTGGAACATTGAAGTATTTCTTGGGTATAGAAGTTGCTAGATCAAGACAAAGTGTAAACCTGTGTCAAAGAAAATATGTTCTTGATCTGCTGGATGAAACAGGACTGTTAGGTGCAAAACCGGCTAAAACTCCCATGGAACCAAATGCTAAGTTGAGTAGTGACACAGGGGAAATATTTGATGATCCTGGAAGGTATAGACGGCTAGTGGGGAAGCTGAAATATTTGACTATCACGAGACCAGACATCTCCTTTGCAGTCAATGTGGTGAGTCAATTTATGCAGAACCCTCGGATACCTCACTGGGATGCAGTTCTTAGAATTGTAAGGTACCTGAAGGGAGCTCCAGGCCGTGGGATATTGTACAGACCAGGAGGAAAACTTGAAGTAATTGGGTAAAHAGATGCAGATTGGGCAGGCTCTGTGTCTGATAGAAGATCTACTACAGGTTATTGCACATTTCTTGGAGGAAATCTTGTGACATGGAGGAATAAGAAGCAGACGGTTGTGGCAAGGAGTAGTGCTGAAGCCGAAGACAGAGCCATGGCACACACTACATGTGAATTAGTATGGTTGAAGAATCTCCTACAAGAAATCGGGTTCTCCATGGATAGACCTATGAAATTGTACTGTGACAATCAAGTTGCACTCCACATCTCATCCAACCCTGTTTTTCATGAGAGAACAAAGCACATAGAGATTGATTGCCACTTTGTGAGGGAGAAGGTCCTTACTRGAGAGATAAGCACAKAACATGTGGGCTCAGGTGATCAGTGGGCAGATTTGTTTACAAAAGGCTTAAACTTAGGGAGAGTGAAATATATATGTAACAAGCTGGGATTATATGACATATATTCTCCAGCTTGAGGGGGAGTATTAGAGCTAGCCGAATAAGGGTAGATTAGTCAATTTATTTCTGTTAAGTTATGTGCTTATGTAGTAGTCTTAATCGAGACTTCATGTCCCATACTTAACTGGGAGCAGTTTAATCTTTATACCACTAATTAGAGGCTAATCCATATTAAGGGTCGACTGATAGGGTTTAAAACTATCTGGTTCGACTGTTCTCTTCATCTTCTTCTTCTTCTCTTCTCCTGGTTCGGACTACTGTAGCTACAGAAATAACACATATGATTGATCTACAGGCATTATCAGTCATCCCTCCTAAGCATCTTTTATCAGTAACAAGACAAGCAACTTTTTTTTATCAGCAACTGAAAATTCATTCATTAATCTAAAAGAGATAGAGTACAACAGGGCTAGGGACTTCCCCAGCCATCCCTTTACAAGAACAATCCAATTTACAATTCAGCCCAGAAATATGTTCCCTATGAACCCCTTGCTTTGCCAAACAATCTGCCAGTCCATTTGCTGTTTTTCTAACCCATTTAAACATGGCTCCCACTTCTTTAGTAACTGTGTCTATCTCTCTTAATGACTGCCTATAAAACTCCAAGCTCCCAAAGCCTCACTCCTTAGCCAAGAAATGACAAGCTTTGAGACCCCTTCTACCCAACATATTTAATCTCTCCTAAGAATTCTGTCTACCATGACCACCACAACCTCTATCGCAACATTTTTGTCATCTATTTCTATCTTTCTTTAACAGCCAAAAAATAAATAAGAATGCATGATTAAAAAAAAATTGTCAGCGTGCTGTTGCTGATTTAATAGGGAGAGCTAATGAATTGAGGAAACAGATTTGCAGCATGAATGAAGGCCTTACGGTATTTGGGACAGGGGGTGTAAAAACAAAATAGAATCCTACACAACAATGAAAAGAGGGAGAAGCACATCAGATACAACATGCAGTCATTAAGGCCATGTCTTTCAGTGCAAGGAAGAAAAATCTACAAAAGGTCACTCTTGTCATGTGAAATATATGGAGTTAATAGTATAAATACTTGTCAAATTTGATTTTAACCATGGACAAAATGAGGATATATCCAAGTTTTATCCAATTATAACACACATGGTATTTAGAACTCAATTTTGACCCAAAAAGGGTTAGACAGAAATATGAATTTTACTGTCTTGTAGGATTTGGACTTCAACTGGCTCAATATCCAATTAGAACCCATTATTCCATTACTCAGTGGTTCCAGAAAGGATATCTATTTTCGATCTATATATATAATTGCAATTGACTTTCCTAACTAATTACCACACTGGTTTTTCTGTTCATTGGACAGAAACATCATGGTTCAGATGGTTATGATTGGGCTCATCATGCTGTGGTCCTGCCTACCATGAATGAATACACAACAGAAGAAACCCTTTGAGCCTGATAAATAATCATTTTAATCACCTAGGATCCTTAAATTTTTTTAAGAGTCACATACATTTTGAGCTGCATAACATGAACAAAAGACAGAATTATCAAAAAAAAATACATGAACAAAAGACAGGAACAAAAGGATCTTACCAAAAAGATAGTCAGCCAAGCATGATGCATTGATGTAATTTGATATTAATAGCTTCTCATGATCCTTAGGACCCCAATAATAACCTTGTAAAGAAACTATATTTGGATGTCTGATATTACCAAGCTTCTTTGCTTCCCTTGAAAATTCTTTCTTGCCTTTTGATATCCCTTCCTTGAGCCATTTCACAGCCAATACGCTACCTCTGTCAAGTGTAGCTTTGTATGATATCCCATGACAACTTCTACCAATTACCTCTGCTGGTGCACGAGAAAGCTCTTCCAATGTGAACCCCGGTGAGCCTTCAAAAAGGTGTAAATCTCCAGCCAATTTATCAGGAGAATAGACCCTGAGCACAATAGGATTCTCAGAGAGATGTAGATCATTAGAACAGGGTGAAGAAGATGAAAATATTGAAATAGGAGAAGATATTGCTTTATCCTTCACTAGAGACCCAGGAATTTGTAACTCTGTGGACTTTCCTATAATTGATGAAGTGCCACCATGCTCATGTACTGAATCCATTTCTGAAGAAGCTAAACGATCTTGAGAAAGGCCCAATGAAGCTCGAGATGGGTCAACACTTTTGTGAATCCCAAATACATGATGACCAGGAGAACCCCCCTCTGGAATACCTTTCTTCTCAACAGTTTCATTAGAATTGTTCCTCCATCCTTCACATCTTTGTCTGCAGGCCTTGTGGTAAACAATTAAGGACAAAAGAGCTAAAATAGCAGCCATGCCAACAAAACCTGCAATTAGAGCAGTTTTAACTACAGATTTTGTATGGATTCCATGCTTCCCCCTTAGAGTAACCTCAGGAGCATCTTTTGGGGAAGGATGAGGGAGAATCAGTAAGGAATTTCCAGGATGAAAAGCAGAGTCTGGAAACCTCCTCAAATTTACAGGTACAACACCAGAGAGATTATTATAGGACACATTGAATTCTTTTAACCCATCTGGAAGGTTCTCAGGGATGCTACCTTCAAAATGATTCATAGATATATCAAGATACACCAAATCATGGAAATCACTGAACTCCGATGGCAAATTGCCACTTAATGAGTTATCTGACAGATCAAGAAAAACCAGGGTCATATTTTGATTGGAACCTAGAGAAGGAACATTGTGTAGTGCTTGAAGTGGGATGGGCCCACTTAAGCTGTTTCCTGAAAGGTTGAGAGCAGTCAATTTCAATGATGTAAATAAGCTAGGAAGTAGGGGCCCATTAAGCTTGTTGTGGCTAAAATCGATCACATTTAGCTGTGGGTATGTTCCTAATACAAGTGGGAGAACCCCCTCTATTGAGTTGTTAGATACCTTAAAAGAATTCAACCTCAAGAATTGAGAAGTTCTGTTAGGAAAGGTTCCTGTCAATAAGTTTGAACTTAGATGAATAACTTCGACATAATTTCCCCAACTCTGAATTCTTGATAATTGTCCTGAGAGCATATTATTACTCAAATCTACAATTGCACAGTTTCCTACCTTTGCAGGCAAGGAGCCTGACAACTTATTTGAAGAAAGATTAAGATACTTCAAAGTTGCAGAGGTGACAGTTCCTAGTGGACCTGCAATAAATAAAAGAAAATCAGATGACAGAAGTATGGGTAAGCACCTTCATAATCTAAAGATCAAAATTGACTTTAATATATCATACAAAATCAACGTACACCACTTTAATTTTCCTCTTCAAACCTAAAATTTACTCCCATTGAAGGCTTCGTCCAGCATTCATTTTATTAAGGGCAGCCTAGTGAACGAGGCTCCCACCAATACAGGGTCTGGGGAGGGACAGTGTGTGCAACCTTACCCCTGCACATACAGAGAGGCTGTTCACAAGATTTGAACCCTGGTCACCAAGGTCACAATGGAGCAACCAATCGTTGTGCCAAGACCCACCCTCCCAGCATTCATTTTATTAATATTGTAAAATGAAAACCTATGTAGGGGGACATAAATACCTTACCCCTCTAAGAATCTATACAAGTTGATTTCCAGCTCATAATAGATACAAGAAAACATCTAGAAATCAACAAAAAAATCAAGTTGGTTGGGAGCACCATACATCAGAGGGGGTTGCTCAGAGGTTAAAATGTTCTCATAACATCCTGTTACAATGTATGCTGACAGAAAGTAATGGTTTGATGTAGTGAAATAGAGGTTCACAGGAATGTTTTCAAGTCATAAAGTCAGGGCTTATATGAACATTTTGTTATCTTGTGCACCAATGGCAACTAATGTTTGTTGTACCACAGTTTCATACAAATGTTTTGTATTTCTGTTAGCAGACTGAATTTGGTTTGTAGTCTCTCATTTCCCACTTTCTTTATTCTCTCTCTGTCAACCTTTTTTCTCTTTATTTTACAAAAGCCTTCCCATTACTGACAGATAAGGGAAACACACATTTTCCAAGATAAAGGAACATGCTAGATCGTGGTAATGACCATTTCTCCTTGCCTTGGTTTCATGTTTAATACCAAGACCAAACACATGAAGCCTTTATTATTTTATCAAGAGAAAAGTACACTAATTTTGATAGTAACTTTTCAAAATAAACTTAGTCAATTAATAGATATTTCATAAAGATTTGGCAACAAATGAGCATTTTCTTACAAATAAGAACTTCGGATGCACTTACAAGGAGTAAAAGATACACTGAAACTGCACATAATTTACTAAGGAATTTTTGGTATTCATAATAATGTGATTCCCCTAAGGAGTTTCAAATGGCAAAGTTTTTCAGTTAAGAAAAAGAAAAGAAAGTATATTTTGATATTTTCTCTTCACAAAGCAAGAAATCAGCTTGTGAACGTTTAGAAAAGCAAGTAATCAAAGAAATTAAATATATTGACTCAGGCCAACTAAATAGACTTTTTAACTTGCTATATGCTAATACAAGTCAATAGAAAACCAAGCTGGAAAAGAAGTATATTTTGATATTTTCTCTTGCCTTGAGAAGAATGTATATTAGAGTTCATCAGAAAAATATATATATATATATATATAAATGGCTGAATTTGGTTCCATATAGAATGAAGGGAAATGAATGGTTTCCTAGGAAAGCACCATTCAATAGGGAAATGAAACATGTTCTTAATTTTCCTGGTGTTTTGCTCAACTTGGAAATATGAGTGTCGCAATATATGAATCAAGAACAACAACCTTTGTTTAGAAAATGCTTTATGGAATATAATGAATGCCATTTTTCTATAAACAATATTCATTTTCCACAGCCATTGTGTATGCGACTGAACACTGTAAAACAGCAAAAAGGATCCTATATGTAAATAATAACTAATGTGTAAGAATTAATTCACCTTCCAGTTGATTAAGGCTGAGATCAAGTTCTGTTAAGAGTGTTGAGCTTTCTTGCAATAGGTGTACTGGTAAAGACCCTGACAATTGATTGCTTCTAAGTCGCAGAATCTGAAGAGAAACTACAAAACTGAAGGAAGGAATCTGACCGGTAAGCTGGTTATAACTAGCATCAAACACCTCCAGATTGTCAAAATAAGGCATCCCATCATGGGCAAAGAGCTCCCCAACCAGTGAGTTATAGCTAAGGTTCAAATATTGAACTGTAGAAACAAAAGTGGAGTTCCCAGGACCCAAATCCAAGGACCCAGAGAACATATTACTACTGAGATCCACATACACCACATTCTGTAGTTGCATAAGAAGACTACTAACATCACCAGTGAAGCCATTGGAATGCAAATCTAGAAACTTCAAGTTCTCAAGTTTTCTAAAACCAGATGGAATTGTGCCACTAAAATTGTTGGAAGACAAATTCAGAAGAACTAAATTTTGCAAATTCATCACATCTGATGGAATTGATCCATGAAATGCATTGTGTGAAAGATCCAACCATGCCAAAGATTTGATCGACCCAATTTCCATAACAGTTCCCATTAACTGGTTGTTTGAAATTGACAAGTTACGAAGCATTTCAAGATTGGCTAGAGCAGAAAATTGGAAATTTCCCTCCAATCCCAAATCATCCAGCGTAATTGATGTGACATGGCCCCCTGTACAGCTAATCCCATACCAATTTTGCAGACACCCATCAGACGATAGGGAGTTACCTCTCCAAGAACTTAAAATATTCTGGGGGTCTTTCTCAATTCCTTTCTTAAACTCCAATAGGGCATCTGATTCTGACTTTCCAAATGCAACTTCCACCAGAAACAAGAAAATCAAAACGATGGACTGCATTCCCTTCTCTCAACCCTTACTTGAAAAAGAAGCAATTGAATAGCATGCACATTAAAATAACTAAAATTTGGTCTTCAAAAATTAAAGAAAGGACAAAAAAAGTCACTATTGCAGCTCCTGCAAAAACGAAATGGAAATCTTGAAATGTACCAAAACTTCAAACAATATATATATATATATATATATATATATAAATCTCAATCCTTAACACTATCCAAGAAGAAAAAGAGAAGAAAACCCAACTAAAACATAACTACCAGGAGTTCCCACTACTTCAGTAATGGAAGACAATAATCTTAACAAAAGGATACATGCAAAATGAAATTAAAATACTAACCCTAATCAAGAACAACAAAGAATTAAAAAAATCGAGAAAGATAACATAATTTGCACGAACCCTGAACCTCTAACAATGAGCTGAACATGGCATTTACTTCAGGTTCAAACTTTAAAGCCCACACAACCAAGAACAAAACAACAACAACTAGAAACACGAACCTATCAAAGAACCAAAAAGAAAAGCTTACAAAATCTTCTTTTTTCTCCTTTTCTTTTGCGAATCACCCACACTGGCAATTACACAAAATGCCAGAAATGAGAGAACCAAAAAGTCTCAAATTCAAAAACCGACCCAATTCAGAGCAGAATTGAGAAGGAGAAACCCATAAAATACCCTGCATTTTTTAGTGTTGACTAAACTGAATCTCGAAATGTCGATACAATAGAAAATAGTTTTCAACTGTTCTCCCTTTCCCTCTCACGAAAAAGATAATTTACAGAGATAATTTTTCGGGAAAACCTGAAAAGGTTGCAGAAAGACAGTCTGTGAAAAGGGCATGTATAGGTGGAAGTTTCAGAGATCAGAGAGCAACAACTCCACTCCACTCCACTCTCTCACTCTCACTCTCCATCTCTCTCCACTGTTTTCGGTTCAGTTTTTCTGCACTACTGGCTTGGTACTTTATTTATCAAAAAAATCTTTTTCTTATTTTTTTAACTATTTTTCAATAAGCTTCTATAGACATAGTTGTCACTAGTGCAATTACTAGATTCACATTCAAATAAGCCAAAAATGACGTTAGAGACACCCTTATCAGCTGTCTACATCGACGAGGAGATTTTTGTCTTTTTATAAGGAGATGTTCCCGGGTTATCAAAATTGAGTTTAATTAATGGAAAATGATTATGGTTCAGAAAACACGTGCTTACGAAAAGGAGCTGTCCAATATATTCCTCATGTAAGCTCGAGCTCAAGCATACAAATTTGTTTTATTTTATGCTTTGCCAATGCATCGTACAGTATACACCAGGCTTTTCATTTTCAACTGGGTTTCTCCTCACACAGGGCGCCTCACAGGCACATCCTACCGTACATTGCGAACATTTCCCGTAAATAATAACATATAACGGAAGATGTTTCCAGTGAGATTTGCCTGTGAGGCGCCATAAGTGAGGAGCTGACGGTGGGGTCTCGTTTACTTAGGGTAAAATTATACGGACCCCTGTTTTTTGATAAAAATTCCTTGAATTTTTTATATTGCGATAAATATCCCCTCAACCGTTAAGTGAAATAACAGAATACGTGAAATTATTAAAATATCCCACTAAAATTTCTTTATTTTCTTTTACTTATCATCTTCTCTTTAAACCTAAATCACCCAAAAATATCTTTGATCGTCCCATAAAAAGAAAAGAAAAATCTAATTTTCTTGGGTGAAAAATCTCTAGCATAAAATCTAGGGAAAAGTATGGATAGGCCCATTTTATAAACATGAATCTCACAGGCCAGCCCATACAAAATCTAAACCAACCTCAACTATTGAAACAGTAGGACAAATTCCCACGCTAACTAGCATCTTGCTTTTCCCTATGATGTGGCAATCCAGCTTGGATTCCATGTCATAATATCTCTTATTTATATTTGTATTTTGAAATTTACCCTTGAGTTTCAAAGACTAAAATGACCCTACTAGGTCCCACTATCATTGATCTCTCCCACCCTCCCTATTCTTTCTCTCTTTCGTTGTCTCTCACACTCTCAACTCTCCTCTTCAACTGAACTTCTTCCTGCAAGTGCAAGTTCTCCCTAGCAGCGCTCCTCTTTCTCACTCTCATTCTTTCCTCCCTCGCTCTCCCTTAGTCTCGCTCTCCTTCTGTCTCGCCCTCACTCTCTCCCACTCTCCCTCTCTCAATCTCTCGCTTTCACTTTCTCTCATTCTTCCTCTGTCTCACTCTCCCTCTCGCTCTCATTTTCTCCCATTCTCCCTCCCTCCCTCCCTCCCTCTCTCTCTCTCTCTCGCTCTCCCCCCCTCTCTCTTCCGCTCTCCCTCCCTTCTCTCTTGCTCTCCCTCTGTCTCTTTGTCCCTCTCCCGCAACTTTGTGGTTGTGGTCGAATCCAGAGGCATCAGAACTTGTCAGTTGGAGGCCCATTTCTTGCTAGTACATAGTAGTCGAACTTGTCAGGTAGAATTCTTGCTTTTTTCAACTCTATTTCTTGGTTAGTACATACCAGTTGGAGGCCCCATCTTAATTGTTTTTGTTTCTTGTGCAGCATTGTCACTGCTTTATCATTTTGTTTGGCTTATCCATCAAACTAGGGTTTTGCCCAATACATTGAGGCCTTTCCTAACTAGAGGAAGTTATCAGTTTGAACACCGGTGTCACTAACAGGTATTTGACAATTTCTTTGTATGATAGTTTAATTTGTTTTAGTTAGTCAAGAAATCCTTTCAAATAAATTTGATCTTTGGTTCTCTTTGCATTTCTATCATAGTAAATAGGTTGTCGTTTTTATATAAAAAAAATTGTTAAGTTGTGTTTGATACTGATTCATGCTTGTTGATTGTGCATTGGAGAACTCGTTGTAATAAAGTGTACATTAGTTTACACATGAAAAAGCATATCAAAAAGGTGTTTGTAATGAAAGGTCAATCCATTTTGGTTATGGAAATGTCTCTCCAAAATTAAGATGATAGTTTAGTGGTAATCACTCATAACAAACAATAATCACATTGTTTTGTTGTAAACTCTAGGAGGGTGTTTGCCTTCTCAACATGCTCTTCAAATTCCTCCTATAAAGGGCCAAATCCAATTAATGAGAAACATAAATTTGTAAGTTGAATGTCCTCAAATCAAAGTATATGATACAAACATGTTTTGAATAGAGGAAAAGAAATTTATAATAAAAATAAATTTATAACAAATAAGTAGAACCATGGAACAAAGCAAATCAGTGGAAAAAAACTAAACAAATAAAAGTTTGAAAACAAAATAGAATTTAACTCCATCACACAATTCGTAACTTAGTATCCCACCAAAACCACAACTAAAGAGGGTGAAGCAAAATGAAGATAAGTTATAGATTGAGATTGAAGATACACTAGCAGGAAAATCCAAAAAATTGAGATATGTGACTTATGAACTACCAAGGTTAAGAATCTCCTCAACCCAAACCTTACMTTTCTCACCAAATCCACATCTATTCTGTAGAAAGCATAGAATATAAATAGTTAGAAATATTTCTCCCATATAGGATACAAAGAACTATATAAGGGAGAGTACTACATTGTATTACACTGAATCCTGGTTTTTATATTCCAAACATTAAGTTTAAAGGGATGGGAGATCCATCATATGGATGGCCGAACCATGCAAGGTGGTTGGGCAAAATTTCAAAAATTTTATTTCTTCCACCCAAGAATCGTATTCCCTATAATTTAGAAAACTGCATTTTCAAGTTCCATTCTTGAATCAAAATCGGACCAGATCTGAAACCAAAAGGAAAGGAAGGGATATACCTGATACGAAGTAATAGTAATTCCCAACGTAGGTGTTCATGCCCAAAGAGAAGACCAAAACTCACCTCCACTGAAGATGACACAGTGTATGGTGAGGCARGATCAGCAGGATGGTTCTTTAGCAAGAACCTGAATTCTTCAGTAAAAATCGAACAAGGGCTGATGAGCGCAACTTCAGATTGTTTGTTATAGCAAGAAACAATATCAAGAACCTTTCTTCATCAGCTCCACAGGTGAAAATCGAACTAGGTAGGGGCAGCAAGAACTAGGGAGAATTCTGCAGGTTGCTGAGTGTGTATAAACTAAGGAATTCGTCCATTATTTATAGCATTCTTTGGATCAGCCTCCTAATTCAATTAGGAGAGAGTTTCTTGATCCAAATCTGATATTTGGATCTAGAGTCTTAAATGGATAAGACTTATTTTATCCTTTAGCTAATTCTGATTAGGTTATAAATCAGATTTTGCCCCCTTTTAATTAACTAACTTAAGCCCAGTTCGAAATGGGCTTTAGGCCCATTAAGTCACATAACTCACTTACCCATTAACATGCTGTCTAACTTGGCTCTCTTTGTATGGTGTGGGGCCCTAGCATTGATCTACACATTAGCCACATGGGTTCAACCCAACCTTTATTACAAGGTCTGGCTGAATTCACTATAGGACACAGTGAACCCCTGAGTCCATCACCATGGGCACTTAATGGGCCCAAAATTTACACTAAATAGTCCTTGGGTCCAGCCATCTTATGAAGGCCCAAGGACTGTGAGCAGATGCAAGATTAGCCCATCAGGTATAACCCTCAAAGGTATCACACTTAACCTCTTAGCCCATAATAATCAAACATTGCCCGACAAGAGAGGACTTCTCCCTCGGCTGCAAGATACAGTGTTGCACTCTCTACTCACATGGATCTCGGGAATTAAAACCTTTTGCAGACATTTTGTCACTATGATCACCCACTCAGGTGAATTCTCAAATTGTTCTAACATACCCAGGTTTTGACCACCTCTAAGGATCTCACTGATTAGCATATCAAAGATAGTCCAATCCGACACCTAGCGCAATATCATAATCGAATATAGGGGTCAGGTGTAATATTCCAGTTTTGCCCATCTATCTCCAAGGTCCAGGGCAATACTGGAATTTGGTCTGGTTCAGGGTTTCAAGCAAATCCACACTGCATGTACCTTAGGTCTCACCCTGGCAATTGAGACAAGCCACCCCAACCAACTTGGCAGCACATCAATGTCAGCCTTGGTAGGATAAATCTCCCTAGATCTACCCAATGACTATGAAGATTCTAACTAACACGAGTCTTATAAGTGTCTAGTTTAAGGATATTACACAAAAACACACAAAATCACATGAATCAATTATGCACTTTATTCATTTACAATAAATGACATAATGTACATCAATCTGATTGGAGCTAAGGGCATACACTATCTAACAACTCCCATTTGCACTTAGGTCAAATCAGGTACTAGCCGGAGTCCCATGCTTTCCACGTGTTTCTCAAACACTTTCTGTGTTAGTGGCTTAGTTAATGGGTCTGCCACATTCTCCGCTAATGCTACCTTTTAACATCAAACTCCTATAGATCCAGTGTTGTCACACAATAGTGGAATGGGTGATGTGCTGAATTCCAAATCCAGAATGAACAATTTCATCCATTAGGCAGCCTCACTTACGATAATGTGCTTGGCTTGGGTTGTGGACTATTATTTTTACTACTCAGGACCCCATCGTGAAGATGTAACCAGATGTAGACATTCTATCATCTGAGTCTGACTGTAAGTTGGTATCAATATAGCCGATGATCTATAGTGAACTACCATCAAATACCAGACAAAACTCCTTTTGTCCTTCGGAGGTATTTCAGTATGTTTTTCACAGTTGTCCAGTGCTCATGACCTGGGTTAGATTGAAACCTACTTACCACACTCACTACTTGAGCAATGTCGGGCCGAGTGCACAGCATGACATACATGATACTCCCTACGGCTGAAGCATAGGGAGTCTCTCTCATGCCCTCAATCTCCTCGGGTGTCTTAGGAGAAATGCCCTTGGAGAGATTGACTCTGTGCCTTAAAGGAACATTTCCTTTTTTGGAGTTCTCCATACTATATCTTTTGA